ATGTAGCAAACTATTGTAAAATAGGCATTTATTTAAAAACTACTAATTAAAAATATAAACATGCTTGCTATGCTATCTCATCCTCACGGTCTGATGAGATGGCATACTGGTATAAAACTAAGCACAAAGCTCACAAATAAATGTTTTTGACTTTTTAATAAGTCCAGCACACTCTGCATGAGCCCACTTATTGCAGAATTGACACTTAAACCATACCTCCTTAGATCTTGACCATTGGTAAAGCTCATTGCAGTATAGGCATGCAATATCTTCATCTTCTTCTATATCTTCAATGTTTTCTATATCAGAGCTGTCATTTTCATCTCGGTAAACTTTTTTTATTGATCTAGAAGATTGCCGCACAGGTTGAACAGCTTTCGTGTTTTTGGGAACCAGTTGTCTTTTAGCAGACTTTGCAGCCTTCTGTAAAGCTGCTGCTTCTTTTTCGGCAACTGCTGCCTTAGCAGACTCTAGTTCAGGCGTGCTATTTAAAAAACCAAATGAACCTTTTCTCCTTTTTGGTCTTGGATTACTTTGAGATGAGGAAGGCAAGGGAAAGATTTCTGCAACTGATTTATTACAATTATCAGTTGAAGACGAAGAGCAGGTTTGAGAAGTTGAGGGCAAAGGAGGTTGGATTATGTTTTCGGAGGCTGTAACTGGTTCTTCTGTAACTTCTGCTGGATTACAGTTGACTATTGGGGAAGAAGAGTAGGCTTGAGAAGTTGAAGATAAAGCAGGTTGGATTGTGTTTTCGGAGGCTGTAGCTGGTTGTTCTGTAACTTCCGCCGGGTCAAACATCCATTCCGGAAATATATTTGGGTTAAACGGAAAAATTCCAGTTGCAGAAAATCCACTCTGTGCATTTTTTAGAGTAGCTGCTTTAACGTAGGCATTATTAAACAGCTGAGCAACTTGGTAATGGGTTATTACTCTTCCAGGATGGTTTCTTAGCCATAATGACAACTCTTGGTTATAGTAGGTAGTTAATGGGCTGTAAAAACTAACGTCCAGTGGCTGAACTCTATGGGTACAATGGGGAGGAAGGCAGAAAATAATGACCTTATTTAGCTTTGAATACGTTAAAACCTCCAAATTCTTATGACTAGAGTGACCATCTAACAGCAGCATTACTTTCTTTTCTGGGGAAGGCTTAACACGCTTAACAAAATGTTTCATCCATTTTAAAAACAGTGCCCCATCCATGAGTTCATTTTTCATATTTTTTCGGGGAAAAATTATTGCCGGGGGAACAAAGTTGCCTTCTGCATTCATGCAACAAACAACAGTAAAATGTTGTCCTCTTTCTGCGCTAGATAAAATTCCAACTTGTTTTCTGCCACGTGTTGCAAAGATTTTTACATTTTGACTGGCAACAGTAGTCAATCCAGCTTCATCAACGTTATATATATCGCTAGGCTGAATTTTATATTCTTGTAAAAAAAAAAAAAAAAAAAAAAAGAGAGAGGAGGCCCCACCCACATACCCAGTGCCAAACCACTCTCTTTTTCAATTTTTTATTTATTTAAGAGTGTACATAATTATAAAATTTTAGTTATTTAACATATATAGAAGGAGAATTGTATACATTTTGAATTAAAAATTAAATTGAAGAAAGCAAAAATGACATCAGTATATGGTGATTCAATAATAATAAATTATCAAAACAAATGAGAAACTCTACTCAAAAAGATACACATATGTGTTACAAGGTACCTACAACCCTTGTAAGAATTTAAGAAAAAAAAATAAAAATTAGATTTAATTAACATTTTTGCTTTATCAAGATATTACAAAAAAATTTAATATAAAATAATCTAAAAATAAAGTTGATTTTAATAAATCAGAAATTCATCTATTAATAATATAATCTCAGATTATAGATGAATGTAAAAGTATTTTCAAAAAATTATATTATTTATAAAGAAATAGTAATAATAATATTACTGTATAAAGAAAAGAAATCACTCTCCAGAAAGGCAAATGCAATCAGTTTTACAATAAATGTATAGTTAAAGAGTAATTAATGAAAAGGTAAATCTTCGCAAATGGAAAATGGTGTCAATAAGTCTGTTTTGTTGTTATCAATCAAAAATTTTAAAAGATTAGAAGGTGAAATAGGCCAATAAGGGGTACAATCAATCAAAATTTGACGAGGTTCATCGTATAATGGACAAGCAGAAATTCTATGTAAAGAATCATCAGTGGAATGACAATGGGGGCAAAAAGGGTTCTCCAATCTTCCGACTTTATGAAAATGTCTTCTATATCTTCCATGACCAGATAAAATTGATGATAAAGCTTTATTATGGGTTATGTTCATATATTGTCTTTCAATTACAGAAGGGATAAATTGGTAAGTAAGTCTACCATTAGGGTATGAATCCCATAAAATTTGCCATTTATTTAAACTCAAATTCTGCAATAGTTCTTTAGCTATTGAAATTTTTGGAAAGTTATCAGTCCAAAATGTTCCCAGATGTTCGGCAGGTTTGCATCTTTTGATATTGGAAAGGGCATGTCTTTTGGAAATTTCAATATCAATTGGCATAATATTAGCTATAACGCTGGCAGCTTCATAGGATACATCCTTATAACAACCACTAATAGTTCTAGCACATAGAGCTCTACAAGAGTTCAAATATCTTTCAGATCTTCTATAATGAATATGATTTTTCCAAACTTCGAAAGCATAACCAGTAATAGGAACAACAGCCATAGAATAAATAGTCTGAAGGGCTTGCCAAGGGGGAGCCCATATGCGGGATAAATGTCTTCTTAAAGTTGAGAAAAGTCCTTTAGCTTTTAAACAAACTGTCTTTATATGTTCTTGATAATTCAGTTCTTGTAAAACTGTATCTAAGGATTTAAAGTATTTCTCAATTTGCGGCTTGTTGAACGCAGAAGCTCTAGCGGCAGATGTTGATTCTGGTGTTCGCAAACTAAGAGATGGGTTTCTTTGGCGAAAAGCATTGAGCCAGTCCCATCCAGCCATTTTCTTAACTTTTGAAAATTTATGTTTTATTCTCTTGGATTCAGCGATCTGATATGCTAGTTTTCTAACATCATTTGTAGATAGACCAAAAAATCGAGTTTCCAAATGTTTAATATGAAGTACAATTTCTTCTTCCAACTCCTTACTAAACGTTGTCTTATATCCTCCCAAATAGCCTTTGCTCCAGTCATTTTTAGCTGCTCGTCTCCGAAGTGTACCAAATGGTACACCAAAAGTCTTTGATGCTAATAACTATCCCATTTCACCATTATTAACAGCGTTTATAGCATTTTTCATATTACTTTCATCCCAGCTATGCCTTTGAGATTTTCTTGTATAGCGGCCCATGCTAAAAAACAATAAATAAATAATTAAATATTAGTAGTTCTTTCTACTTTCAAATTCTGGGTGAGATGGCATAGTGTGCCATCTTAAACTGAGTATGGTATGCCATCTCAACCAAAATGCATTAAAAATATATTTTCACAAAAATAAGGTTAGGTTAATATACAATTATGGAAATGTTTGGAAAAATGTATCTAAAAATGCTATATTTCAAGCCTAAATTAATAAAACTTACCTTTAATAAAATTGAAAAAGAAGCCAGCGGTCCTTAAAAAATTTGAATAGAAACAAAAACATAAAAGTTTTACCTGTAAAAATATACATTAATCTACATTTTTATACAATTTATTTTTTAAATTTACCATCAACTTTTTTTGTTTTTATAATGGCCGCTATAACTTTTGTGGTTTGATACATCGTTAGATTCCTTGATTTTTTTTTCTGCCAAACCATGTAAAATTACAATATGGCGGCCATAGGAAAAAGAAAAGATGAAGGTAGTATCTCCAAATCTGGTAGGCGAAAAAAATCACAAATTGGATGGAAATGTGTATGTTTACATGTGAAACTTAATTTTGTTTTTAAAATTCTCAGTAATGACAAAGTTATAACGATTTTTAGTTTTGACATGATTTCAGTTTTGGTCAAATTATTTGAGAAGCGCCGATTTTTTTCCCAATTTTAATAGACTTGTACCTAGGCAACTTTTAATTAATTAATTAATTTTACCACCCATGTAGCTTTTTAAATTAAATAAATACGCATACATAGAATGGGACCCTGTATACATATGTATGAGTTCAAGTACTAGTTATAACTTATAAGTTTAAATTTTAACTTTTCCGGCATCACAAATTATTTCACGAAACTGAATTATATAAAAAAGTAAACTTGATTTAAGAGTTAAAATTAATCAGTTTCGTCCAAACTCTTCCCTTCGACACTAAGAATTTTTTGGAAAACTACCTACTTTTTATTTTACTATTATTATTATTTCTTTTGTTAAAGAGAGACTTATATTAAGTGCAACCATATGAAACCAATGGAGATTAGGTACAAATTTCAAACATACAATTTAAGATAAATCTTATATTTCGTAAAACAAAAAATAAAGAAAAAATGTTAAAAAACAACTGCCTTCTATATCGCGCCCAAGCGCCAATAAGGCTGGTTTTATTATTTTTTTAACGGTTTTATTTGTATTAAATTTAGTTATTAAATTATGATAATCATACAAATTAATCCCAAGTGCTATATTTCTAAAAAAATGTTTGTCTCAATAACAGGATTAGATATAGGTACATTATTATCGTAAAGATTAGATTTATCTAATTTTTGTGTATAAAAGAAATTTTTTTAATAAATTAAATTATATCCTAATGATGAATTTTCAAATACTACTTCTAGCAGCGTTAGCTGCCTGCGCTGTACAGGTAAACTACTGTTTTTTTAAATTTTATTATTATATTGTTTATTCCATACATTTTTTAAATTTATAATAATATTTTTTAGCATGTAACGACATTTAAACTTGATTTAACCATCAAATATAAAAACATTAGTGTGGTTGAAGAATTAGATATTGATTCATCTGAAGAGCAATGGAAACCAACAAGACCACCCCGTCCAACTGATACACCAAGACCGCCACGCCCAACTATTACAACTGAAAGACCAAGACCGCCACGCCCAACTGGTACAACCGATACACCAAGACCACCACGCCCAACTGGTACGACTGATACACCAAGACCGCCACGCCCAACTGGTACGACTGATACACCAAGACCGCCACGCCCAACTGGTGCAACTGATACACCAAGACCGCCACGCCCAACTGGTACAACTGATACACCAAGACCGCCACGCCCAACTGGTACAACTGATACACCAAGACCACCACGCCCAACTGGTACAACTGATACACCAAGACCGCCACGCCCAACTGGTACAACCGATACACCAAGACCGCCACGCCCAACTGGTACAACTGATACACCAAGACCGCCACGCCCAACTGGTACAACTGATACACCAAGACCGCCACGCCCAACTGGTACAACTGATACACCAAGACCGCCACGCCCAACTGGTACAACTGATACACCAAGACCGCCACGCCCAACTGGTACAACCGATACACCAAGACCGCCACGCCCAACTGGTACAACCGATACACCAAGACCGCCACGCCCAACTGGTACAACAGATACACCAAGACCGCCACGCCCAACTGGTACAACCGATACACCAAGACCGCCACGCCCCACTGGTACAACTGACACACCAAGGCCACGCCCAACTGGTACAACTGATACACCAAGACCGCCACGCCCAACTGGTACAACCGATACACCAAGACCGCCACGCCCCACTGGTACAACTGACACACCAAGGCCACGCCCAACTGGTACAACCGATACACCAAGACCGCCACGCCCAACTGGTACAACGGATACACCAAGACCGCCACGCCCAACTGGTACAACGGATACACCAAGACCGCCACGCCCAACTGGTACAACGGATACACCAAGACCGCCACGCCCAACTGGTACAACTGATACACCAAGACCGCCACGCCCAACTGGTACAACTGATACACCAAGACCGCCACGCCCAACTGGTACAACCGATACACCAAGACCGCCACGCCCAACTGGTACAACCGATACACCAAGACCGCCACGCCCAACTGGTACAACTGATACACCAAGACCGCCACGCCCAACTGGTACAACCGATACACCAAGACCGCCACGCCCAACTGGTACAACTGATACACCAAGACCGCCACGCCCAACTGGTACAACCGATACACCAAGACCGCCACGCCCAACTGGTACAACTGATACACCAAGACCGCCACGCCCAACTGGTACAACCGATACACCAAGAGCGCCACGCCCCACTGGTACAACTGACACACCAAGGCCACGCCCAACTGGTACAACTGATACACCAAGACCGCCACGCCCAACTGGTACAACCGATACACCAAGACCGCCACGCCCAACTGGTACAACCGATACACCAAGACCGCCACGCCCAACTGGTACAACAGATACACCAAGACCGCCACGCCCAACTGGTACAACTGATACACCAAGACCGCCACGCCCAACTGGTACAACTGATACACCAAGACCGCCACGCCCAACTGGTACAACCGATACACCAAGACCGCCACGCCCAACTGGTACAACCGATACACCAAGACCGCCACGCCCAACTGGTACAACTGATACGCCAAGACCGCCACGCCCAACTGGTACAACTGATACACCAAGACCGCCACGCCCAACTGGTACAACGGATACACCAAGACCGCCACGCCCAACTGGTACAACGGATACACCAAGACCGCCACGCCCAACTGGTACAACTGATACACCAAGACCGCCACGCCCAACTGGTACAACTGATACACCAAGACCGCCACGCCCAACTGGTACAACTGATACACCAAGACCGCCACGCCCAACTGGTACAACTGACACACCAAGGCCACGCCCAACTGGTACAACTGATACACCAAGACCGCCACGCCCAACTGGTACAACTGACACACCAAGGCCACGCCCAACTGGTACAACTGATACACCAAGACCGCCACGCCCAACTGGTACAACAGATACACCAAGACCGCCACGCCCAACTGGTACAACTGATACACCAAGACCGCCACGCCCAACTGGTACAACTGACACACCAAGGCCACGCCCAACTGATACACCAAGACCGCCACGCCCAACTGGTACAACAGATACACCAAGACCGCCACGCCCAACTGGTACAACTGATACACCAAGACCGCCACGCCCAACTGGTACAACGGATACACCAAGACCGCCACGCCCAACTGGTACAACGGATACACCAAGACCGCCACGCCCAACTGGTACAACTGATACACCAAGACCGCCACGCCCAACTGGTACAACCGACACACCAAGGCCACGCCCAACTGGTACAACTGATACACCAAGACCGCCACGCCCAACTGGTACAACTGACACACCAAGGCCACGCCCAACTGGTACAACTGATACACCAAGACCGCCACGCCCAACTGGTACAACAGATACACCAAGACCGCCACGCCCAACTGGTACAACTGATACACCAAGACCGCCACGCCCAACTGGTACAACGGATACACCAAGACCGCCACGCCCAACTGGTACAACGGATACACCAAGACCGCCACGCCCAACTGGTACAACTGATACACCAAGACCGCCACGCCCAACTGGTACAACCGATACACCAAGACCGCCACGCCCCACTGGTACAACTGACACACCAAGGCCACGCCCAACTGGTACAACTGATACACCAAGACCGCCACGCCCAACTGGTACAACTGACACACCAAGGCCACGCCCAACTGGTACAACTGATACACCAAGACCGCCACGCCCAACTGGTACAACAGATACACCAAGACCGCCACGCCCAACTGGTACAACTGATACACCAAGACCGCCACGCCCAACTGGTACAACGGATACACCAAGACCGCCACGCCCAACTGGTACAACGGATACACCAAGACCGCCACGCCCAACTGGTACAACTGATACACCAAGACCGCCACGCCCAACTGGTACAACCGATACACCAAGACCGCCACGCCCAACTGGTACAACGGATACACCAAGACCGCCACGCCCAACTGGTACAACGGATACACCAAGACCGCCACGCCCAACTGGTACAACGGATACACCAAGACCGCCACGCCCAACTGGTACAACGGATACACCAAGACCGCCACGCCCAACTGGTACAACGGATACACCAAGACCGCCACGCCCAACTGGTACAACTGATACACCAAGACCGCCACGCCCAACTGGTACAACCGATACACCAAGACCGCCACGCCCCACTGGTACAACTGACACACCAAGGCCACGCCCAACTGGTACAACTGATACACCAAGACCGCCACGCCCAACTGGTACAACTGACACACCAAGGCCACGCCCAACTGGTACAACTGATACACCAAGACCGCCACGCCCAACTGGTACAACAGATACACCAAGACCGCCACGCCCAACTGGTACAACAGATACACCAAGACCGCCACGCCCAACTGGTACAACTGATACACCAAGACCGCCACGCCCAACTGGTACAACGGATACACCAAGACCGCCACGCCCAACTGGTACAACGGATACACCAAGACCGCCACGCCCAACTGGTACAACGGATACACCAAGACCGCCACGCCCAACTGGTACAACTGATACACCAAGACCGCCACGCCCAACTGGTACAACTGATACACCAAGACCGCCACGCCCAACTGGTACAACTGATACACCAAGACCGCCACGCCCAACTGGTACAACCGATACACCAAGACATATTCATCTCAATAAGATCGCAAATAACGTCCATCCGGAGATGATAACCGTAGACTAGGTCAAATTTAATTTAAATAATCTTAATTTTTTATTACATGTTAAAATATTTTATAAAATAGGGTCAAGAGGGGTAAATGTAAACGAATCTGCCAAATTAAAAAAAAAATTGTTTTTAAATGTGTGGCAAAATTTTTCTATATTAAATATATTACCAAGAACTTATTTACTATTTTGTATGGGCCTTTTATTTTTGAAAATACCAAAAAAAAATATTTAAAATATCAATCAAAAAACAAAAAAAAGTCAATTAAAAAAAAGTTGTCACTGTTTACTTTTACCCCTATTGTATTGGGGTAATTGTAAACGGCAACTATGAAAACCACGTGAACAAATGAGAAAATTTGTGGGGGAATAGTAAACATTTAAATTACTGAATTATAAAATGCGCTCCTATGCATTTTAGGCGGATGTTTACATTTACCCCTAAAAATAAAAGACGTTATTTTATTATTGCTTTTTATTTAGCTATTCATTAAAACAGCAATTGGGATACAAAAAAAAATATTTTTACTTTAAAAAAATAAACTAAAACATTTAGATGTATTTTAAAACTTAAAAACCTAGGTAAAAACATCGGTAACTTTTTATTATGGGTAAAGGAAAAAACAGGTTGATCTATTGCAAAAAAGTATTTTCTAAAACTGGGATATGTTTTTCAAATTGATAATAGATCCTTTCTCCTTTCATTTTTATTGTGGGAAAAGGCAAAACACCTAAAATTTGATCATGATTGACAAAACTTATATCGCTTGAATTGAAGGCAAAATTTTTTTTAGTTTCATCTATAGGTGTTAAGCCTACGACTTCAACATCATTATCTATAATATTTTCGACAGAACAAACATATTTATAAACCGTTGTGTTCCTTTTTCCACCTTTAAATTGAACCAGAACAAAACTTCCAGTTTTTAAGTCTTGAAGAGATGTCTCCTTTATATTAATTGGGTCTTCATCAATTTTCTCGTCTTCCCAATCGCAAGGGCTTTCGCTGTCATTCAAACAGTCGTCTAAATTATTATTATCTTCGTCACTTGAACTGTCCTCTCCTTTCTTTTTTTTGACGTCTTTATTTTTTTCGTTTTTTTGTTGGAATTTTCTTGGTTTCCAGTGTTTTCCTTTTTAACTTTTCGGGTTTCGGTTTCTTTATCTTCTTTTCATGTGCTTGTTTTAGTCTATCAAGGACTTCTTTATTTGTTAAAATTTCGCCATAGGTTTGTTGTCTTAATCTTGGTATTACTTGTTTTACTATTGTAGTAACGTTTTCATTTTTTTCTGGGGACTTGGTAAGTTTATGTGGTGCGTCTAGTATATTAGTCGCCATACAACTAGATGTACAAGTTTCAGTGGTATGGTGTTTACAAGATTGGTTTCTTTGTTCATCTGTTGGAGTGACCACTCTCACCTCTTGAGACCTGATTGATTCGGCGTGGAGATCATCGGGAATATCTTCAGGGGTATCTTTTTCTGTTTCTTGTAAATCATTAGACTCTTTAGATAAACTGCTTTGATTCTGCAGACATTTTTCAAATTGTGGAATATTTTCAGAAGTATCCTTAGAGTTTTCTGTATTTTGTAAAGTATTATTATTTTCTTTAGATGAAGAGTTCTGATTCTGCAGATATTCCTCTAACTCACGTTGTTTAAAGCAATCTGTGGGAAATTTTGTTTTGTCGATGGGAAAAATCCCGCAACTACTAAAACCAGATATAATATTTGTTGGTTTTATTGCATGAGTCCAAACTTCACCCAGAAGCTCAACAAATTCTGTTTTAGACAATCTTCCGGTTCCCTTCCCCATTTGTTTCTTTCCATGCGCGATAAGTTTTTTCTCCCAAAAAGTCTTGACAGGACCAAATACGCATTTGTCAAGAGGTTGTAGCATGTCCGTCAAATGGCTTGGCAACTTAATTAGAATAATATTGTTAGACATAGCTTCTTCAACTATACGAACACTAATATGGCTAGCATGCCCATCATATATTAGAACCGCTGTTTGGTTTGGAAGATCCTTTAATAGTCTTATATTTTTTATATGAGTTATAAAACTCTTTGTAAACCAGGTGAAGAATTGGGGTTCTTCCATCCAACCATTTTTTGATACTGCATACAGGGTTCCAGGATATGCTTTATCAGACACCCAGCGGGCTTGCACATCAGCGCCCTTAAATACAATGAAAGGAGGAAGCACTGACCCATCTGCTCCCACACATGCGAGGACCGTAGTGGATTCTCGACCCGATCCCCCAGAAACGCGGCTTAAAGGCTTTCCCTTTTGCCAAATAGCTCTTAATGGACTTGGGTCGTTTTTAAAGCCTGTCTCATCTGCATTAAAAACAAAACATGCTTGTTCCAGAGACGTTATTCCGAATCGATAAAATGTGCTGCTTAAATCTTCATAGAATTTGTAAATTACATCGGGCCTTCTGGCGTCTTTGCGACATTTTTGTAGGTGTTCGGGTTTTTTTAAAGATAAAAGATTTTTATGCCGTTTTAAAAACGAGTAATACCAATCCACACCTGGGCGGTCATTAACAAACTGGGTTGACATGTTATTAGATTTTACATACTCCTGAATGAGGTCCAAAAGTTCGTCCTTATCACACGGAAATCCAGATTTTGCGCGAGCCAACAAACAATCGACGATTTTCTTTTCTGTGTCATAAGTAAATGCTGTTTTACGACCTCTCCCTGAAGAATCCATGGCAGTTTTTCTTCCATTCAGCCGTTGGGAAATAACGGCAATTGGTACATTGTAGTGGTCTTGTGCCTGCCGGTAAGACATATTTCTGTTCTGCACATCTTGAACGGCATTTTCAAGGTCTTCTTTGGAATAATTTGGCCCATTAGTTTTGGGAATATACTTTCTAGGCATCTAAAACAAATTTATTGACTAAAACTTACGTTTACATTTACCCCAAAAGTCGGTTTACATTTACCCCAACCACGCGTTTACATTTACCCCCTATACACTTTTATTAGGGGTAAAAGTAAACACTCTTTAAAAATTATTAAAGTAAGATATCCAGTTTATAAGCATTATTTGGCACAATAGTTAAGGTATTTGCAACCCTTCCAAAGATATTTTATAGTACTTACCTTTAGAATTAAATTTTCACCCATAATATAACAAGTGGTATGATTATCATCGATGATATTTTCGAATTGAAACCGAGCTGCAGATTTCACGAGTCCGCAGGACGAGTGAAATGTGCTGCTTCGGTTTTAATGAGTAAATATCATCGATAATTAATCATACCACGAGTTATATTTAGTGAGAAAATATAATGAATTTTAGGATTTAACGAATTTTTAGTTTGACATTTGAAATTAAAATGTGCTTTAAAATATAAAAAGACTTTAATAAACCTTATTTATTCAAACTTACCTTAATTTCATTATCGTTTACACCAACCCATCGATCTTTTAGAGTTTATAATTCATTATTTTATTGATATATATCAAAAACAGAATTTAAATGACAACAAATGTCAAATCAAAAAAACGTCAAAATTCATAGTAACGTGTAAACAAGATGATAAAAATTATTGCCGCTGTGATAAAATACGTCACTATGGAATACTGGCATTTTATTGGTTCTAATATTAATGAATTGTATTGTCACCCATAATATAACAAGTGGTATGATTATCATCGATGATATTTTCGAATTGAAACCGAGCTGCAGATTTCACGAGTCCGCAGGACGAGTGAAATGTGCTGCTTCGGTTTTAATGAGTAAATATCATCGATAATTAATCATACCACGAGTTATATTTAGTGAGAAAATATAATGAATTTTAGGATTTAACGAATTTTTAGTTTGACATTTGAAATTAAAATGTGCTTTAAAATATAAAAAGACTTTAATAAACCTTATTTATTCAAACTTACCTTAATTTCATTATCGTTTACACCAACCCATCGATCTTTTAGAGTTTATAATTCATTATTTTATTGATATATATCAAAAACAGAATTGAAATGACAACAAATGTCAAATCAAAAAAACGTCAAAATTCATAGTAACGTGTAAACAAGATGATAAAAAATATTGCCGCTGTGATAAAATACGTCACTATGGAATACTGGCATTTTATTGGTTCTAATATTAATGAATTATATTGTCACCTGAATATTTACACAGTAGCCACAAATTAAAAAAGAGGATTATTGTTATGGTGACAATAAGAACACAAAACAAACTGAAGACGCTTGCGTAAACAACTGTTTTTTTGAATAGTATGAGAGGAGGGGATGTTTGACAACTGCCAGAAGTAATAAGGTTCTGGCGGCAAATTTAAAAAGAAAATTTTTGGTGTTTACAATTACCCCTGTTTACATTTACCCCTCTTGACCCTAAATAATTTAATAATGAAAAAAATTTATAAAAAATGTTATGCATCAAAACTAATCAGCAAACAACCCACATGACAAAGAACGTTTTAGAAACATTTTGTTACATTCTCAAAAAGATCACATTTTGAACGTTTAAAATTTACGTCTCAATCTTGTTTCATAGACAGTAAATATGTGCTCTCTTTTTAAATGTGTCCCATAAATGTTTGTCGGACGTCCGGATTTCTACGTGCCCTGATCTACATTTATCAGCCATTAATTTTGTGACGTTATGGGACTGTCACCACATATACATCAACAAAACAGTAATATCGTTACGTTTAAAATGTGATGTCTATAAAACAAAATTAAATGTTCATCATTGTGACAATACTGAATTTACGTTAATTAAACAGTTTATTCTTGACGTTAAGATTAGGATGTCTCTAACACGAAATTATACGTACGCTTGTTATTGGAATGTTATTATATTAACTTTAATAAAACCGTAAATTCGAGACGGGTCAGTCTACGTATTGCAACGACAGGTGGTTATCGTCGCATTTTTCTAATTTTTAGTTTAAATTAGTGTGTTAGTGAGAAATATTAAATACCTACAGTGTAAGTGCTCTTGGTTAGATTGAGGGTTGTATAATTAAACATAAAAAAATATACCTACAAAACCGTCAATATATGAACGTGACTCATCCGACACATTCGTACGAAGCAATCTATCGAAGGTCACGGTCCAGTGCAGTCTCGTTTGTAAAAAAAATTGAGTGTAATGTTGGTTGCTATACTTATGATATATTTGCTTTTAAAGTTAAATAATTAACATCTAACATAATTAACATCTACGATAATTAAATAAAATGTAATTTTCTTAGAAACTAATTAATAAATAAACTTTTCTTTTAACTTTAATGAAATATTCTATCATCTGATTACAGAACGTACACTCGTGGCGACATCTCTGATTTTAATAACAAATTTTTAGACCGACCCAACCTCACTTTCTTCCAATTAAATTCTTAGTATAGTCTGAAACACGTTTGGAATTGCATATTCCCCTCTCGTGAAACCGTCAAACTTGTTACAGAATATACTATTCTTTTAACTGTAAACGCAAATATTTCAGAATTGGTGACAAAAAACAAAAATGTTTACGCAGGTCAGGTACAAAGTGAAAGATATTTAAATTGTGTGGATATAAAAACAACTTGCGTTAGTTTCACGAAATTTATTAAATATTGACAATTGTTTCGCTACACAGTAGCTTCTTCAGAATGTATTAAACTAATACTAGTACAAAATTTATATGTATAATAAAAATATTTTTGTATTCTAGCCTAGAATTTCTAGGTAAGGATTTTTATACGACATCTACCTGTGTTACATAATATAAACCACTGCCACTACAACGTTTAAAACGATTATTAATCCGGAAACACACAGTAGAAACAAGATATGCAAAAACAAAGATCATATGACATATAAAAACAAATGGCCGACGGTAAAGTTGGTTGCCTTACTATGTAATAAAATAAAATAAATTCCTAAAACACGAACTCTACTGACTTCCAATAAAATTAAGTAACAAGCTAGGACACAAGCGTCATATGTCCATCTTTGTCCAACACCTAGGCAGTTTTACATCACAGATGGCGCATTT